CCCCCCCCCCCCCGGGCGTTGGAAACACTCTCGCCTGGTTTACACCTGTTCTTTTAGATGCCTTTCAACTAACACGGGCATTAGATCAACGCTAATCCGCGTTATAAGTTTACCCTTCACTGAGTTCTTCACTGGTTTCTAGTTTATCTCTACTCCTTATTTCTTAACTACCCTACTCTCTGACCAATGGAGTTAAATAGTGCTCGCTAAATTATTAGTATAAAGCTATTACTGAATCGCCGTGCTTTCCAAATCCCTTATTGGCTCTGTCGTGTTTTAAATATGCACACGTGAAGTTTTCTATGTAGCCTGATATCATTACCTTACAATTTAATTAGACGATTTCCTATAATTTGGCTACTAAAGTTAGAAAAGACTAACTAGTAGAGAGCTTACTGACAGAACCAGCACAGACCTGACTGACTGACTGACTGACTGACTGACTGACTTACTGACGAGTGATGACCGACTGAGGACCGACCACTTATGCCGTGTTTTCACGAGAGAGGCTTACTACGGTTACTGCTCACCGAGGTTTCGTAACTAAACACTGCTACTAAGCTACTGAGCTTCTAACAGAAAGGAAACGCTTACGGCACTTGACGATGAACGGGAAACAGGATTCCGGGATTTCTTTGCTTAAACATGAATTTATTTAGCTTTTTTTTGCCCGTTGGCTTGAAACCTACTTACATAAGGAGGAATCTTTGTCTAATTTTCTCTTCTTTACGCGCTGCACGCGTGAACACTTGCTGCCAAGATATCGCGACAACGTCTGTTTTTCCTCGGTTACCGTTGGTTACTGAGCTAAACCATGCCTGATGAGGCGTTCAACTGTCGACAAACCTAGGTTGGCTTACTTTTGATTTTGCCGCCATTTACCGAGGTTTGCTACTGTGTTTACACGATTAAAAATTTCACTTCAGTAAAGCAGAGTAAAGTTAAAACAAAACCAAGGTAAACATCAAAACACGGGCTATAAGTGACGTTTCTTGCAGAATACTATTATAAAAGAACAAAGATTAAACGAGATCCCGTTTTGTAGTTTGGGCACCTCTCACTTAGCAAGCGTGGCGCGCTTATACTCTACTACAAGACCATCACTGCACAGTCATTCTGTTAACTACGGATCACACATGTTGTGTTTTACTCGCTGTTCGCAGCAAACCACTTGGCTTTTGGGAACTCTTCGTGTAATTAGTGCCAATCTTCTCCATCCTTAATCATGCTTGTTCCACTCTTATGGTTTATGATTATCTTTTTTGTGTTTTTCTATCTTGGTAAACTACTATTCTCAGGTTTCCTTCAATTTAAAGGTAATTTTGTACGCGTCCGAAATAACTCGAAATACCGTGACTGAGCTTTAACCCTCGGCTTGGTTCAGTTTAAAAGTGGTCAGCAAGGCCATATAGTTGCCTTTTCTATGGCTTAAAATATGTTTAAGTAACGTTACATGTTGGAACCTTCACCTTGGAAACTTCTATGAAATGCCATTTTGTAACGGATATTTTCATCAGTCATTATTCTTTTTACGTGTGTAACAGTGATGTTTTTATCTCTTTTACCAGTAGGTACTACAAAATTATCATGTCCAAGCCAACAGAAAATAAATTCTACAAGGAAACACTACTTACTTTGAATGCAAATTCCTCAGATGACTACGTTAAAAGCATCTATGATGACATAGCCGAGAAATATGACAAGGTGCTGTATACTTTCTTTGAAACTTTATTTTCTTTGGCCGGGGTATACTAACAAAGCTTCAAGAACTTCAAAGCGTCTTTTTTTTTTTTAATTTTATTGAATAAAGCAAGCAAAGCAAATTACACGTTCAGTACAACTACCAAAGTGCATTACAAAGTAACAGAAAAAGTACAACGAAATAAAAACACAGAAAGTTGAAGAGAGGTTGGGGAGAAACAAGAAATATTATGATAGTTACAATATTTTGGGGGATTACAACATATCTTCACATAAATTATTGGCTATTGTTTTGGCGGTCAGGGAAACTGGAAATAGCAATTTGAATACCATCTGCAAGAGAAATCCATTTTTTTGGTGTCGCCCGACTTTGTCTCTAACTTATTGCAATAAGTCTTAAATTGATTTTACAAGACGTAAGAAAAATGTGAAATTTGATGGCTTTTCCTCAAGTTTAGCTTGCCATATATGGAACCGCGCTGACAGGAAAATGAAGTTTAGTTGAAGTGTATATTTTGAATCTTGCTTTGATCTTTCAACAAAGAAATCTTCAAAGTCCACCGCTCAGGCACGCCTGTTTTCACGAGGAAGAAGAGTGCTAAGTCGTTGTTTTTTACCCCTGTCTTCCATCAGCAGACTGTCGAAGATGCAGGTTATGTAGCGTACAAAAGTTGTACTCCGATCTTCCACGAAGTCCTACGAGAGACGTTCGGCGACGACGCGGCGAAGTCGAGGATTCTGGATGCCGGAGCTGGCACTGGGATTGTGGGCAAAGTTCTTCAGGATCTCGGCTACATTAACATGGACGCTCTGGATATCTCACAGAAGATGTTAGACGAGGCGAAAAAGTTGAACGTGTACAAGGAGTTCTTCTGCGCAGCGTTAAGCGCCGAACCAATAGCTGAGATACCAGCCAATCAGTACGATGGTTTAATCTGTGTGGGCACTCTTACAGTCGGTCATGTCAAGCCTGTTGCCTTCGACGAGATTCTACGAGTCGTGAAACCGGGTAAGGAAAGCTCCGGGGGGGGGGGTACTCCCATATTAAAGGGTCAGGGGTGCTCGTCGGAAAATTTGAACTAAACCTCTAAAGGAGATCACTGTGGGCGTGGCTAGCGCTCGAGCTTTATTTGACCCCGGCCGCTGTTCAGGAAAGGAGCCCGCGCTATTAGACCGGACTCGAGAGACCGGCGGAAATCGAACCTAACAACGGGAATAAGAGCGTTTCTATTATGATTATTTCTTGTAGTGCACCCTAAAAGATACTTTGACAGCCAAAAAATTGTGGCCTTTCGTCATCTAAGGGAAACCAGAATCCTTGTATTATTCCCCTAAAGGAGACGACGAGCATCCCCGACATTTTCATACGGGAATTCCCCCTCACGCTCCCCCGCCCCGACCCGGAGGAAAGCTGAATCAGCATGAAAGCTTTGTAAATTAATGTTTATTGATTGACTGATTGATTGTAATTTGTACCAAACCTTGGTTCAAACTTGAAGAAACAAACCACTATATGACAGTACAATGGAACCCCGCCTTACGACCACCCCGTTCATACGACCACCTCGTCATTACGGCCACTTTATTCTGGCCCGAAAAAAAGCTCAGTCAGTCATTTTCCTATTTAAAGAACCCCTTTAATACGACGACCCCGTTAATACTACCGATTTTCCATGGCCCGAAGGTGGTCGTATTAACGGGGTTCCACTTTACCGTAAATCCTCGAATTAGCTCCCGGGGCGCTTATTTCAAAATCAAATTACGATCGTAATACTGATGAATTGTTGAGGATGGTCAACTGGGTTAAACTGGACCGTCAACGCCTTGTTAATAAATCAATAATGATGTACAAG